TTGGTTCAACCAAACAACTTTTGAATCGGTCCCAATTTTTAAGAACCGGATGATTAAATTTATAATATCTTTAAATAATTTAATTTAATATAAAATATTTTATTAAATATTAAATTAATTTAAAGATAATATAATATAAATATTAGTTCGGTTGATTGAAAATTTTGATTATTTATTAAGTGATTTTGAATTCAAATATCTCCATGAGTTTACTTTTAACTGGCAATGATAATAAAAAAAATTGTTCGATCTATAATAGGATTTGCACTTTTCAGTCAAAGCACAACGCCGGCAATTATAGTCTGTCCTGCTCTGAAATGTAATTATCGCCGATTCAGAGCAACAAACCCGTCGACAGCAAAATTATTCGGCGATTTTAATTTTCCGACGCCGATCATACAGCGATTTACTCGTTCGAACCCGTAGCCTGTAAAAATTTTGTTTTTGAGTGAGATAATATTCTTCCCGCGTGTAGGATAATGCTTTACTTTAGATTCATAATTTTTGGAACTCTTCACTTTGATTATTGGCATCTGAATCATGCTTCTCATTAATATTTAATAGTGAAAGAAGATAAGATAATCCTCTTATGTTTTCTCTTAATTTCTTTCTCTCCTCAGATGATTTTTTTTCATGCTCAATTGAACCTTTTGAATTGAACAAAGCACCTCTTTTTTGTGCCTGTAATTCTCTTATCCTTCTTACTCCTCTGCTTCCACAATGGTAGGATGGGTAACTTGACCTCGTGAAAAATGATTAGTCTTGAGGATCGGGGGACCTCTAATAGCGACACCATCTTTTGTATTATTTTGTCTGCTCTGATGTTGGGGAAGTGTGCATCTTAATTTTATTGATATTAATCTAACCTTAGAATAGAAGAAATTTTTATAGTATATGGATTCATTTGTCCAAAATGCCATTGAGTTTGGACACATCTTCGCCCTCCCATTAAGTAGTGAGCAAGCCTTTGATAGCATGAGATTGTTCCAAAAGACTTATAATAATAATTCTCTATGAGATGAAAGATCATGAGCTATGAAATAAAGACTTTGTAACTTTGTGACATATTTACGATTTTAGAATCTAGTTGACAATATTTATACTTGTGCACAATAGTCTAACAACTCTTACTTAACAGTAGGTAGTGCAGGTAAAAAAAAAATGTGGACGTCTCTGATTCATATCCTCAAATGCCAATGAAAGTAGCACATTCAGAAACTACGTCAACTAATCTTAGTCTCTTAGTTGGAAGCTTTGGCTACCAACCAAGAGGTCTGGAATTCGACTCTTATATATGTGATGTGCATGTGAGTTTGTTTTAATTGACCTAAATGTCAAAAAAAAAAAAAAACATCAGCTTAGGGGTGTCAATATTGTACACGATCAGAAAACCCGACTTGAACCCGACATGAAAATTTTGGGTTCGGGTTGAAGTCAACACGAACCGACCCGGGTTAGATGTTTCGATCGGTTTGTAAAATCGGGTTATGTTTGAGATGACCTAAAAACCTGAAATCAACCTGATTTGACTCAGGTTCGCGTCAGTCACATTTGTGTGCATCCGTCGCGTCGTCCATCAAGTCTGAATTGCAAAGTGAGTTACGTCCGCCAACCGCTGAGTCCCATGACAGCTTCCCTCGCATGCCTGTGAATGGAGTCACCACGTCAAGCAGTCGCGCCCGCCAGACTGCTAGTCGTCACGTTCGCCAGCCATACTTGCATCTACCAGTCTGTCACGTCAGTCTCAGCATCTCGCAATCTTGCATCCACGCCCGTCATCCGCCTGTCAGTTCTTTGGTCAGACAACGATCGGAAGTCTCCAAATCGTTATCTTCACACGCTTCTTCAGCCAAATCGCGTAAATCTGCATCGGGTCGGGTTCGGGTCCCAAAAACCGTTCAGGTTGATCCGAATAGTGCCCACTCCCGAAATCGACCCGAACTCGACCCGTGATCAAAAATAGACAACCCTACATCATCTCAACCAAATTTCAACACTAATTACTGATAACTAAGCTTTTATTTGCCTACAACACCTCAATTCCAGCAGCCTAATTACCTGATGAAAACATAAGAAAGAGACGCTCCAACTAACACAGCTAAGTATCAGAAATCAACGTGATAGGAATGTTATGATACAAACTTGCATGTGATAGGATCGTTTGACCAGTTCAGCTTCAAGAGATCGACTGGCAAAGAAGAAATATCTCGGCCACATGCGTATGGGACCAACCTCGAATTAAATAGAACCAGACTAATAAGCATAAACAGCCATTTTGCCCCACACTTGAAATTATTTTTTGGCAGGTCATGGCCCTTTAGAATGATAGGATCTAATATATCTACTATAAAGGACAGGCTTACTCACATGTTTTTGACTGACATTGGCCTTTTATGCGCCTCCAAGTAATTCTACAGTGCTTTGTTTATCATAATATTATCTTGTTATTTCTCTTGTAAATAATGATGATGATTGAGGCTTTGTTTGAGGCGGATTTTTTAATTCTTTATAAAGCCATTTTTTACTACAGAAATTTTTTGTTTGAGAAGTTTTTCACTAAAAAGTTGTTTTATAAAGCAGTAAAAATTCGACTCAAACGAAACATAAATATGATGATCATTATTGGTTGATTGCAATGAGTAGCTTGCTCTATGTTATCCATTGTGACTCAGTGATTTTTGTTTACAGTCAACATCATTTTCTATTTATCCTTAATGAATATGGGACCTAATCAATTAATGATGATTTGATGTTGGCATGCAACAATTAGGGGTGTAATTGAATCAAGCCCAGTAGTGCATCAACTTTGGCTCGACTAAATAAATACCTCGTGAGCTAAATTCAATGAACTAATAAGTCAAGCTTGAGCAATTCTCGACTAAACTCGTCAACTCGTGAGCCAACTCTTTTTAAAAAATATTATTCTTAAATATACTTACAATAAAATATTATAGTTTAAGAGTAAGCCTGAAGTTGTTAAAATTATTAAAATTTATTTCTCCGTACCTTAACTTTAAGTGATTTATTATTTATCCTCTAATTCCTTACAACAAAAATAACATCAAATCTTTATCCCACTACGTGGAGTTACCTACATGAATTATTTTTCTTTATTGTGTCATGTTAAGAGTAAAATTCTCATTTAAATCTAATAAAAAATATCATTACTAATATTTTTAAGCCAAGTCTTTTTGGATCTATCTCTATCTTTCTTAACATAAATCAAATAAAATACATGTAGTCTCCTATTCGGAAGGCCGCCGTTTTATGTGACCAAACCATTTAAGGCCACTCTCTCTAATATTATCTTCCGTTGGAGCTACTACAACCTTTTTATGTATATGCTCGTTTCATATAATAGATTACTCTTCTTCAATATTAAAATGCATAAATACAATATAATGAGACTTAAGTAGTGGATAATGTACGTTGTAGTCATGGACAAAGGGATTTGAAGGTATTGAAGTTGACTAAAATGAAGAGTACTAGTTGGGACATTATTCTAGCAAAAGGTGGAGATATTGGACTATTGGGAATCGATTGGAATTTGTAGGCAACTAAGATCTATAAATGCAATCTTATTCTAAATAAAGAAGAAGATGGATGTTTAGGAGTTGGTGAGTGACTAGCGATGGTTATGTCATTCACTTAGATAGGAGAAGGGAGAACCAAGAGACCTGGAGGCAGCGCATAAGGTTAGATGAGGTCAAAACATAGAAAAAAAACTGGAATTATATGTGTTGCTCACGGAGCCCCATCACAACAAGAAAAAAACTTGAAATCAGGATTTAACATGAAAATTTTCAAAAAAGGAAAAAAATCACGGAGGCACATCATAACAATAATTCCACTATAAAAAATGGGAGAAATAAGTACATATCTATCTTCTCTCTCACTCTCATTGCTTCTCTTCTCACATGTAATGTTTTCTTTGTCTAACATAACAAGAAATACAAGACAAAGCCATTTATAACTACCAAGGGACGCAATCATTCAGAAACTGAGAATGAAAATCATCTAGTCCGTCTCACAGCATAGCGGCTCCAGTTTGGGGTGATGCGTTGCTAGTTTGGAACACTGCGGCGCTCAAACTTACAACGCTGTTGCGCTGAATCCAAGCGCTGCGGCGCTTTGCTCTTTGTCAATTAGCACTGGGACGCTTGGGAATACAACGTAGGGGTGCTCGGGTACACAACGTTAGTATCCAAACCGAAGCAGGGGGCCAAGGCAATAGAACAACCCGATTGATCAACACAATCAAATTTCACACATAATACTTGCTAAATGGAGTGGCTAAAAAAGGAGAATGTCGGGAATATCGCCTCCCATTAATTAATCTAGAGTAATTATCTTACAGCCTAAGTATGCCCATAATCTTAAGATTTTGTTGTTATTCAAATCTCCATAAATGAAATCCTCAGTTTTGAATTAAAAGCAAAACTGTCCTAATTAAAACCGTCAGATTTGTTGGGGATAGATTTCTTACTGATTTTTAAAATAAAATTTTAAGTAAAAAATGTTTT